ACCAAGGAATCATATGTACATCAGCTTTCACACCCACCAAGCCACACCCCCAGAACCAGTAGTAAAAACCTTTGAATCCCACCACTGAGCTTTCCCTAATCTAGCACAGTGCCCTCCAAATAGGTTGGAATTACAGCTCCCCAAATGCTCATAATATCCCAGCCTTGCCTGCACTCAGGAGATCGGCCACTGAGGCTCCCAAACATCTTTTCCCACTTGCTCCAACCTCTTTTGCTGTCGTGTCCCCAGGAGGTTGCTTATATCTCATTCAGGTTCAAACCATGCTTATCTGTATCGATATTCAAGGAACTCTTTTCCCCTTGTCTCAGCAACAGAGACACCCTCAAGCTGCGTACAACCTATTTGGCTTTCTCACCTTTTTGCCTTGGAAGGAAAGCAGGACTGAGCACCTGAAAACAGAAGCCAAACCAGGAACAGAGAGACCAGCTACCAGAACAGGGAATAGCCATGAAGATGGGTGGCAGAGCGCAGTTGGACTCTGCAACAAAGGGAATCCTCAAAGGAGCGTCAACGCAGCCCTTAGGAAGCTCAGCTTCCCAAGCGCAACAGCTGCTGAAGTGGGCAGGAAGGAGACAGAGAGGAGGAGATCGGATTTAAGAGCTTTCACAGAGGCGTAGCATCAAAGGAACCTTGAAGCCTGGGCCACAGCCGATGAAAAAAATGCCTTTCGTGGGGCATGCTGCGATACGCAAGGAGGGTGTGGGACAAAAGAGGGAAGGGGGATCAACTCAGATTAATCCGCCAGGCATTTTAAGAATTTTTCTGCATGTCACTCACCATCGGAGGCAGAGGAGTGGTGAAGAAAACAACACAGAAAATTAGCCCTTGACTCTTTCCCCTCTGCCCACCCCACCAATAAACCTAGAAACACATCTCCTGGCTCTGGTTTGCACAACATCCTAGATTAGGTCAAAAAAAAAGACACAATAGGATTATAGATGGTTCTGGATAACACGTTGTGCAAAGCCGGCCTGTTATATGAATCAGACCATCAGGGTTAACAAGAGAGGATCTAAAGAAGTTATGCAAATAAGAGAGATTACCTCCTGCTAAATGGGCTTGTGTCATGTTCCAAGAAGCTGAATAGTGCGTGCAAATGAGATGGGTTACACGTCCATATTTATTGCATAAACACCAATCGGGGGATTCACCAAACACAAAGCAAACACTTTTATGGCTTAACATACTGAATAAACTGAGCAGAAGAGTCTCAAAGGAAGACAAACCCGCCCTTTCACCATTTTGGTAACAATATTGCTCAAATGCATCACACGAAACAAATCTTCAACCCCGTTATTAAAATCATAATATGTTAATATTATGACACTAACGCATTTTAACATTTTTTGTTTCAGTAACAATTTTCACATCACTTTGTCCCTAAAATGCTGTTACTGCTGGTCCTCAACTTACAATTAACAACTGTTCAGTTTTCACAGAGCTGGGAAAAAGTGACTCACAAAGTCCTTGCAGTTATGACAGTCACAATATAGGTCACGTGATCCATTTCCAGTACTCTGCAGTCAGCATATTTACGATGATTGGCTCCAAGGTCACAGGATTGCCATTTCTAGCCTTTCCAGGGGGCTTCTGAAGAGTAAATCAGTGTGGGAACCCAGATTCATTCAACGACCACAACAACAAAAAAGGCATAAAATGAGGTGCAACTCACTTAACGACTGTATCACTTAGACCCTAGGAAAACGCCAGTCAAAATTCATATTAGTGGTCTGCAGGATTTAAAATTATGAGTTTGGTAGTCCCTAAGGTCCAAAAGGTTGGCAACCCCTGCTTTGGAGAATAAGTTGACCCCCTCCTCTTTGTGGCAGCCTCTCCAACTTCTGAATTTGTCTGGTTCCTTCAACCACCCCAGAACCTGGTCAGTTAAGAGGCAGTCTTAAATAAGGGTTAGCCTTTCAGCCAAACAGATTTGAGAACTCTTGGGTTAAATGCACTCTCTCTAGATTTAGAGAAGGATCACTTTCCACCGGAAGCTGATTTTTCAGTGTGTTCAACTGAACAAATAGCAATAGCACTTAGACTTACATACCACTTCACAGTGCTTTACAGCCTTCTCTAGGCAGTTTGGAGTCAGCCTATTGCCCCCAACAATCTGGGTCATTTTACGCACCTCAGAAGGATGAGTCAACCTTGAGCCTGGTGGGATTTGAACGGAATAAATTCTCACCACTGTACCACTGAGGCTCCTTATAAATGAACCCAAAGACTGGGTTAACACAAGACCTTAAACACACTAAAGAACCAAGCCTAAGCAAGCTTAGTATGTGAAAATGTAACTGCTAAGATTTGTAACGGGTTAAGTGTGTTGTGAGAGCACAACTACCACACATATAATTCTCACATTAAAACTTAGTTTAGTGCCTATACCCATGCCTTCTAGAGATACATCTCCAGTTGGGCATTACTTGGGTTAAGATTAGACAAGAGTCCACTACAAATTTCATTCGTTCTCAGGGACAACTGTTTTATTTTTAAATTTTATTTTAAAGAGTCTACCACAATTTTTCTCTAACATTCCCCTCCATAAAAAAAAACCCCAGTGACAATGAAAAACAGGATCAAAATGCATCAACAAATTAAGCATGTGTTGACACAATCCTTACAAATCATTGAGAGGTTAAAACCAGCATCAGAAAAAATTAAGGCATACATGAGCCAAATAGTAAATCCAGCATTAAAAAAAGTGTTTGCAGGAACAATGTTAAAACATTTGCTTGAATGTAACTTTTGGCTGGCAAATTAACCAAGGTGAATGAAACAATATGCAAATTGTTATGGAAATAATGAATTCTTGTGAGAAACGAAGGAATACATTTCTGACCATTTTAAAGGACCAATTCTATTTTTGGCATCATTTTGATTTCACAAAAATGTGCATGAAATAACTTGAATCATTTTCATGGGCATAGAAAATGTTGTACTTTTCACTTCTTCCTAACGGATGAAATGTTTTCCAAATATTTTCCTTACTGCATGCCTTTTTGTATGCAATTTTCAGCAAGATACGTGTTTGGCATCATCTTTCTATCATTTCCCTTTTATATGCAATTTCCCTTGCAAGACCTATTTTGGTATGCATCATTTGATAGAGGACCAGCGTTGCAAAGTCTGAAGCACCCAAAGTTACATTCAGATTTGTATATATTAGTTCCAGAAGTACAAATTGTGAATAAAATCAGCCAACGACTAATCAACCATTCTGGAGCTGTGTAAGAAAAACACTGTCAAATCTCTGTTCCAACAAGGCAGAACTTTTTCCAGGGAATAGGGATGTCTAGCCTAACGAAGAGAAGGACCAGGGACGGCATGATATCAGTCTTCCAGTACTTGAGGGGCTGTCACGCAGAAGAGCAGATCAACCTATTCTCCAAAGCAGGGGTCCCCAACCACCGGTCATTTTTTACCGGGCCGCAAAGCTTGGGTGCTGCCATCTTGTTTCAATGGCGCTTCCGGGTTTTCAGTTGGAAAGTGGCGTTTGGGTGCTTGCACCTTAGTTTTGTCGAAGGGGGGGGCGGCTTTGAATGAAGAGCTGTCCCGATGGCGCTGGAGTCTCGCGTTACTCAGGTACCGGTCCGTGGAAGAATAAATAATCGTGAAACCGGTCCCTGGTTCAAGAAAGGTTGGGGGTCACTGCTCCAAAGCATCTGAGGACAGGACAAGAAGTAACAGGTTGAAGATCATTAAATAGAACTCCAACCTAGGACTAAGGAGAAATTTCCTGACTGTACGAAGAGTTAATCAGTTACCGCTGGAAGTTGTGGATCCTCCATCACTGGAGATTTTCAAGAAGAGATTGGACAGCCATTGTTGTCCCAACGGAACAGGGTCTCCTGGCTTGAGCAAAGTCTCTTCCAAAGTCCCTAGTCTTCTATGTTCTTTCAAGATGAAGTCCCTCCACCACCAAGTTCTCTATGAATTTCAATAAACATGCGGGCAAGTAAAGGTATCTTTGCTCCACTTTCCTTAAAACAGTATCAGCAACAAGAGGCTCAGTGGCAACTGTCCCACATACGCACTGCTAGTGCATTCCTTTCAAAAAGCTTGTTTCTTTGGGGGAAATGATCGGGCATGATCACATGATCATACTATTAAAAGCTATGAGATCCCTTTTGAAACCAATTGAGAATCCTCAGTTTTAAGGAGTTGCAGGCAGTGATTTTACGAATGCTTGCACTCTGTGGAGCTGTGTTGCTCAACCTTGCAGACATTTCATTACCCCAAACTAGGTAACATCATCAGTGCTACCGGTACTAAGGAATGGGGTTTGCTGTCAGTTTATATTCTAAACTGCCCTTATCAGTGTTGGTGGGGGTGATCTTAGAGGTCCTTGGGTCGGGCTGTTTGCTGTTGGCTTGTTTGGCAGTTGTTTGGCATATGAGCCACGGTGGTGCAGTTGTTAGAATGCAGTACTACAGGCTACTTCTGCTGACTGCCAGTCGTCAGCAGTTTGACCTGACCAGCTCAAGGTTGACTCAGCCTTCTATCCTTCCAAGGTTGGTAAAATGAGGAACCAGATTGTTGGGGGCAATTTGCTAAGTAAACCACTTATAGAGGGCTGTAAAACACTGATAAGTGCTATTGCTATTGGCAGTTTCTTGATTGGGGTGTTTACTTGATTGTTGGTCTGATGTTAATTTTGGAGTTAATCTATGCTCATCTGGGTGCTGATATCTGGTGAGGTCTTTTCAATCCCTTTTGGCTAGTTGATTGTCTCTTTTGCAGATTAGTGTTTATGTATTTTGTGTTTAACTTTTATAAGATTAGATCAAGATTTAAGAAGTGTGGGTTTCAATTCCCAGAATTCCCAAGCCAGCATTGCTCCCTATTCTGGGAATTGAAGTCCACACATCTTAAAAGTTGTCAAGGGTGAGAAACTCTGCTCTGGAGCATCTTTTCAGCTTTGAATCCAAAGCACTGAACCACCCCCATTTGGTTTAAACAGTTTTTTTAAAAAAAACAAGTCAAATGCCCCCAATCAACCTTCAATCTCCCAAATATGGACACAAAATTTGAATCTATTGATTTTTACAAATTATCATAAAGGCGTATTGCGTAGAATCCAGTGATTTTTGTTACCTATCTCATTTCAATCCCAGATTATTTCTTATAAATGGCAATGGCTCAAGATCACACCATGCTTATTAGAAGAAATCTATTAATCCTCTTTACTTTTATTTCACCAAACTCACGATCAAGTAACAGCATTGGGATGATAAAAAGTACCTTTGATTCATGCAAATGTTTTTTTTTTAAGTGGGTAAATAGAATTAAATTTAATTTTTGGGAAAGGGATGAGGAATAGTGATTACCTAGACTTCCTCAACCAACAAACATAAGTCCCAATTTAGATCAGGCCAAGATGGGTTGATAGCAAAGTTAATAAAATCCAGAAATGAAGCAGTACAATATGCAACTGATGCAAGATCTATCTGAGCCCTTTGATTATATCATTCTGCAGAATTCTGAGGTCTCTTTTACCCTCAACGTTATTCTTTGGTGCCCAACCACAATCCCACACAACCCTCATTCCGGGCCCTTTGTAACGTAGTATTTTCTTCTGATCCATGTTATCTCCTTGCCTGGACACAAGAAGGATCCACTGACCAAAGAGAGAGCAACTGGTTTTGCAGAGAAGACAAGATCTCCAAACAGGTCTAAAGAGGGATAGAAAACTGGCAAAATGGGCAGTTAAGTCAGGACCCCAAATAGGCCATGGCTGTTAAAATCTAACCCCCTTTCTGGATGACACACTGTAAAGTCCACATGATCTGATTAGTCGGGGGGAGCAGGATGGGAAACACAAGTTGTCTGTTCTTCCAAAAACGTCATTTTGGGATCCTTCCCATCTCTTCAGATCTCCTCCTTGCCTCATTCGGACTTTGACTTCACACACTTCCCTCTTCCACGGATGTTGAGGAGGAGCAAAAGGCCCAAGGAGACAGTAGCTGGTACGCACATGGCAAAAGGCTCTTTCAAAACCAGGAGGGTGTAGATGGCACCTGCAGTATCACACACAAAGAAAGGAGGGGCAGAATTCTAAAACCAAACTGCAATCAAAGGCTACCAACTGCTGGACTACTACCCAAGCTGGACTGGTTTCCATTCTCTTTACGTGTTTATTCTGTTAATGTATAAATAAGCTGCTAGTCAAGGCTTTATCTACAGAAATCAGAAACGTGATAGAGATCCAGTCCAATTGAAGCAGGCGTCCCTTGACACTTCAACTCATCAACTTCTTGATGAAGTTTCATGCTGTTCATCAGCTTCCAAACATTATATGAAAATAATTTAATAAACATTACTAAGGGGGGGGGGGGGGAGGACTGGCTCAAGGCCATTCTCACTTGTGGCCAGCCATCTAACATTGGGTAACACTATCTCACATTAGCCACCTCACCTTCAGGTCTAAAAACTGATGTGGAGCTCTATAGACACTCCAAAGATTAACCAAACCTAATTAGCCTTCCCTCATTTAAAAAAGTAAAGGTTTCCCTGTCCAGTTGTGTTGGACTCTAGGGTGCAAATCTCCGTTTCTTGGCCAAGGGAGCCAGAATTGTCCGAAGATATTTTCCATGGTCATCTGGCCAGCATGCCTATATGCTGTGGTGCACAGAACACTGTTACCATCCCACACAAGTGGTACTTATTAATCTACTCACATTTGCATGCTTTCAAATTGCTAGATGGGCAGGAGCTGGAGCAAGGAACAGGAGCTCATCCCATTATGCAGCCCTCGGATCTTGAACCCAGGTTGTCAGAACTTTCTAACGAACTCAGTGTTTTTAACCGTTGAGCCATTCAACCATTCTTCCATCATTGATCAACCACCTATTGACCCCCGCAACCATCCTTAGCCTCTTGGATAATCCCATCAATTCTTGGGGTTTGATATTGAGTACTTTGGTGAACCCTGGATTAAAGTCAGTTAAACAAAACAATGGAAGGATCGAATGAATTCATGCTTCAGCTGGACAGGAAAGACCTCTAAGTTGGGGAACTGAAATCGATCCAAAAGATCTTTTTAACAGAGGCAGAAACAGTCTGCTAGTTCCCCCAAAGTGAGATTAAATCTGTTGAGAAAAGCAAAAACATTTCTGGCAATCGGCATTGCCAAATTCAAATCCAAGGTAAGTTACTTGAGGGAGCATCTCATCCCACTGGTATTGGCCCATGCATCCCATCTGTGCTGGCAGAGGAGGAATGCCGTGAGCCCCATTTGGCCCGATTATTCTGACTGGCAGGATCCAGGAAAAGTTGCACCTGGCCTTCCGGAACATGCTATCTTCACAATGTGAGGTCGACCCCTTAACTCTCCTGACCTTTCCTATTAGCTTGGGAGTCCAATGGGGGAATAGCACAGTGGAGGATGGTTGATCAAATAACACAGAGATCCTTTTTGTGGTATGCTGGGTGCCCTGTAGTGGATAAGAAGATGCTCCAGAGAGTTATAAACACAGCACAAAAAATCACCAGTTGCTCTCTTTCTTCTTTGGAAGAGGTTGTGAAGACCAGACTCTGCTCTAGAGCACTAAAAATCTCCACAGACCATTCTTATCCTGGCCATTCATATTTTGAACTGTTACCATCAGGGAGACGCTATAGGTGTCTTAAAATGAGGACTAATAGACTAAGAAATAGTTTCTTTTCCAAGGCAATAATTGTCTTGAATCAAACAATGCACATATAGTAGCATTTTTAAACTATCTTACTATATGTTTCAGATAAGATTTAGACTAGGTTTTTTATTATTATTATTATTTTAATTTTTAAATACTCTGTAGTATGATTGTGATGTGGTGTTTGGGGCACTGTGCTGGAGTAGCTTTCAAATTTCATTGTATTTGTAGAATGCAATGATAATAAAGGTATTCTACCACCACCCTGCCTCCCCCTTCCCCATCTGTAATTGGATTTTAGTGGTTGCCATTAATTTAATATACATTCAATTCAAAGGCTTTATTGTCGTTGTACATCATGTATACAATGAAATTGGTTTAGCCCCTACTGGTGCAGTCCATTCAAGAATACAAGAAAACATGAATAATATAAAGAATAATCCTTATAACAAGTAGTTAGGGGAAAAAACTAGTCATACATTTCCATATATACAAGATATTCTGTGTAACATGTACATTACTGTGGTGTATAATCTTACATCATGGTATATACGTATTACACACTACACCAGCACCAGTGAAATTTGTCATATTAATCTGTTTGTGGTGCTATATTGTGTTTAGGAATCTGACAGCCCATGGGTAGAAGCTGTTTTTAAGCCAGTTTGTCCAGCGGGCTATGCCATTGTGTTCTCTGCCTGGGTGTGGCAGAAGGCCAGGGTGTGAATCATCCCTAAGTATCTTTCTCACTCTGCTGAAACGGCCAGACCTGCCGATGTCATCCAGTGGTATTTAGAGGGCAACCTATGGTTTCTTGTGCTGAATTAATCACTCTCTGTAGTGCCTTCCTGTCCATGGCTGTTAAACCAGCATACCATACTGTTACACAGTATGTAAGGAAATACTTTCTGTCATGGACCGATAGAAAGAAGTCATCAGCCATTGTTCCACCTGATTTTTCCGCAGAACTCTAAGGAAATGAAATCTCTATTGAGCCTTACTAACCACCAGGGACATGTTGTTTTTCTAGGTGAGGTCTTGACTAATGAGCATTCCCGAAAAATTTAAAGAGGAAAGCCTCTCCACAAGTCCCCCTTGATATACAATGAGGCAGGTTCCTCTACATACATATATATTTAATATACGTATATATTAAAGGGGCATGATGGCTCATTGGGTGAAGCTGATAGCCCCAGTTTGAGATCTGAGCTCTGGGCAATGGGATAAGCTCCTGTTCCTTACTCCTGCTCACCTAGCAGTTTCAAAACATGCAAATGTGAGTAGATTAATAGGTACCACTTTGGTGGGAAAGTAACAGTTTTCTGTGCACCTTTGGCATGACCATGAAAATTGTCTTCAGACAGCACTAGCTCTCTCGACCAAGACATAGAGATGAGCATCGTGTCCTAGAATCAGAGACAAGTGACAGGGAAACCTTTACACGTGTGTTTGTGTGTGTGTGTAAAAGATTGTAACCCATCCAGAGTTATCCTGTGGTAAGATGGGTAGCCAACAAATTTTATAAATAAATAAATAAGCGGCTGAGGCTCAAATGGGGGCCAGTAAATGGTTGGAGAACAACAGCTGATTGACAAACGATAAAGCTCTTTTTGTACAAAGGTCTTCAAGGGGCAGGAATCTGCTACTCTTCTGCAACCAACCTACCCTAACTTGACACAACCCAACATAATCGAAATAATCTTAGAAATAATTCAAGAGCAGATCACGGTCAGAAATTCATTAAAAGGACCTATCCTTACCTATCATGATCACGGTGAGCACAAAATTGCTGATTTCCTGCAGCAGTTGAGGTCCGAAGGCTAAAAGGCAGCCTCCTATCAGTTCCATCCAGCCCACTATTTCCATGTACAATCCTGGTTCCGGCTTATACCCAAACTCCTTCAAAGGGAAGACGTCTGCAAATTGCACAAACTTGGTTTTCTGCCATAGGAAGGAAAAGGAGTGTTAAGAAGCAAGGATGATGACTAAGGAGTAGAAGAGGGTTACCCAATTTTTATTAGCAGCCCGGAAAGGCACAAATAATCCAGACAAGTAGAGTGGAGAAACCACACCAAAAACATTCATGCATTGCTGTGATACAAGTAGCCCCTCAACCTGTACCTAAGGCAGAAATGGGAAACCATGTCCCCTGTGGACTTCAATTCCCAGAGCTCCCAGCTGGCTGGCTCAGGAATTGTGGGAGTTGAAGTCCAGAAGTCATAACAGCGCCATAGTTCCTCGCTCCTGAACTAAGGAATTGCCTTTTTTTTTTCCAACCAAGTCAAGCAGAATGAGCATCTGCAGATCCTGTCAGCCAAAGAATCTCAGTTGGCAGGGCCCAGAAGGCGATTTTTTTCTGCAGTGGCCCGCTTTATGGAACGCCCTCCCGTCAGAGATCAGAATGGCCCCAACCCCTCTTGGCCTTTCAGAAGGCCCTAAAAACCTTGGCTATGTTCCAGAGCCAGGCGCACTGAATATGTCCAGGGCCCCATTTCCTGGTTATTTATGGGTGTTACCGTTTTTATTGTTTGAAAATTTTTTTTAATATTTTTATTCTTTACTTCCTCTTTCACTACTTCAGGTGTCCAGGGAAATACAAAGTTCTGGTTTTTGCACTTCTGGCAGCCTCAACCCTTGCTATTTGATGATGTTGTAAAGTTGACATTGTCACTCCACCTTCTCCTGGGTCTGCCTCATTTTTATATTTTTAACTGTAACCTATTGGTTCGAACTGTAAGCTTCCCAAAGTCATCCACTGAGATGAAGAAATTGAACAAATTAAATAAACTTGCGACCATTTGTTTGCTGACTGTTCAAAGTTAACACAGAATTGGAAAAAGTGACCTGTGATGGGTCCTTGAACTTTCAACCGTCCCAGTATCCTCATGGCCACATGAATGCAATTCTGGCACTTGGCAATTAGCCTTATTTACAAAATTTGCACATCAGCTCCAGCAATCACCATTTGAGACCTTCCCAGGCAGCTTCCAACAAGCAAAGTCAATGGGGAAGTCAACTTTGTTTAACAGTTGTGTGATTCACTGAACATCACATAGGCAAATCTATGTGGTTGTAAGGCAAGAACTCTGTGCATGTTCCTTCAGCTGTATCTTTTCCACCTGCTATTCTGCATCCTGGTAAGGTCTTAATTATTTCTTAATGGTCAACAATCCCAAACGATCTGCAAGTGGGTTTAAAAATCTTGCTTCTCTAAAATCTTGTGGCTCATCTTAACTCAAAGAATGTTTTCTCTTCCTCCCAGCCCATTTTTCTTTTCTTTTTTTTTAATTTACAAAGTCATTTTCACCAGGGGGGGGGGGGGGGGGAGAGAAACAGGCAGCTCTCTTGTCTCAATGCAAACATTCTGCTAGAGAAAAGTTCCCTCCAGCACAAGTCCAAAAACTCGGACGAGTAAACCTCTGGATCCGGTGGAACGATCCAGATTGGATCCAAGCAGCTATCTGTTTCCCCCCAAAAATCTTGCAATGTGCTCTCTGCCGCCCCCAACAACCAAAATTCAAACATCAGCCTTAAGGCGCCAAAAATGCTCCTACAAATGGAAAGCTGGCCAAAGGCCAGAGAAACTCCCAGATTTAGTTTGGAGTACAAACCCAGGCCGTTTACACAGAGGGCAGTCCTGTGAGCTCAGAGGCTCTTCAACTCTTCAGCTAATTTCATCAACTGAGGCAGGGCAGAAAGTCTCCAATAAATTAGATGGCCAGAACACCTGGGGGTGAGGGTGGGGTGGGGGGACAGAATAAAACCCCATTAAATACGATGATACTGTAACCAGCTTTAAAACACCCCCACCTCCAATTGAGATACCCTGGGCAAATGTCTTAAGACCCAAATCCCATTTTAAAAATCCAACTGAAAGAAGGGAGAGAGATAGGCTTGGCGGGGGGAGTGTGTACCTCAGTTTCTGTCTCTCCCTCTTTGGGGTGTGTGTGAGAGAGAGAGAAAGAGGGAGGGAGGGAGGGAGAGATTGAGTGTGAGTATGTGTGTGTGTGTGGGGGGGGAGAGATGGCTTTTGTGTTCTTAATTTTTTTTTAAAAAGCCCAGAGGAGGGGAAAAGATAAAGTTGCGCCAAAGAAATCCCAGGGGCAAAGAAAGAGAAAGGAATCCCCTGCCTCCTCCCAAAGAAAGCAAACAAGCCCTCGGCGTGCAGGAGGCGGAAAGCGGCGCCCCCTTTTCCTTTCCAAGCGCGCGCGCGCGCGACATCACTGCACAGGTGGGGCCAAAGCTCTGTCGGTTATCGGGATTTTAGTCGCAGGTTAAGGACCGAGAAGCGAGGACGAGCCCCCCCTCCCCCCCCAACCGCCCGAAATAATTGCGAGAAATGGGCTCGCCGAGCAGTTGCCGACGCGCCCTGCGTAGCTCCCCTAAAGATGGCATGGAAGCCATAGCGGGCCTTTCCTCAGACTTGGGAGGCTCTCCTGAAGATCCGCTCGGCGGGGGGGATCTGGCTAGATCAGGGCTGAGTTGGGAGGCTGGGGGGTGGGCGGTGCGGAGGGTTGCAGCCCCCCCCCCCGCACCGCCCGACTTGCGGGTTGCATCGCCAAGCGGCGGCCCGGACTGGGTCCCCTTCCCGCCTCGGAGGCGCGCCCCGCTCACCAGCTGCCGGTGGGCGTCGCCTGCGATCTGGTCGGTGAGCTTGACGACCCCGCTGACGGCGAAGAAAAGGCCCAGCAACACGCGGAGGGCGGAGAAGAGCAGCGCCATCGTCGCCTTCGGCTGGTTCTCCCGCCTTTCCCGCCCGTTGGCGGGCAGCCGGAGGAGGTGGAACCGGAGGCGGAGAAAGGAGCCCCCGGACGAAGCAAGGCGGGCGCCTCCCGCTTGCCCCGCCTGCCCTTTGCCAGCCAACCATCCGTGCGTAATGCGCCCGCTTTCCCCCTCCCATCCCCACCCCCGGTGCTGGGTTTCCCTGCTGAAGCCAAAAGGTGCAACCCTGGGCGGCTTAATGGGACGGAAGAGAGGGCTCCTGAGCACGTGCAGAGCTGCAGGGTGACGGCCAGGCTCCGAAAGAGAGATCGGCGCTGGTGCGTTTCAGGATCCCAGGCTGAATGGCGAAGCCGGGGTTTGAATGCTGGAAAGGCTAGCAGGGTTGGGGCAAATCTGATCTGGGGAAGAGATCGTGCTGGAGAAATAAATCTGCCAGGCCGACGCGGGTTCCTAGAAAAAGTGACCCCCCAAAATACATTGCATAACGTTCCAGGAAGCGACAGGGTTGGAGCCTTTCTCAGGGCAGAGGTGGAAAAGCCTCTTTTTAAGATTCGGTTTGGTGTTACTTTGGGGTTGTTGTTTTTTGAGGGGGTGGGGTAGATCTTTTTTTAATTGCAAAGCATCCAGAGTGGTCAAATACAGTGAATAAATCTCATTTGTCAGAAAACCAACACACCCATAAAGGAGAGGTGAAGAAAAGGCAAAGTACAGAGACAGAATGCCATGAAACTCAAAGTTAAGAATGATGTGAAGATAGGAAGGAAACAGGAAAGTGGAGAGATTAGAACAGTGGCTCCATCAGACATTGTGAAGAAAAGGAAGTTTTGTTATCTTGTTAGCCTCTGAGTTTGTTTTCTTGCAACATTTCATGGGGCTGGGTGTCTTCAAATTGAGAAAACTCAGCAGGCAGGTATCACAGTGAGGGGAAATTATGTTGCATAAAATTTAAGTGATCAATTCATAATTACCAAAAGCAATTAAAAAGCAACATTTAAGCACTGTAGAAAAGAAAAGTAGAAGTCTTGCTTGCAGAGCAAGAACATTTCTTACGTGCGGTTTTTGTTCCTGTGTAGGAAATGGAGTAAGTGTATGAAATGTGAAGCAAGGACAATTTGCAAAGATGTAGCAGGAATAGTAAATAATGCAAATGAAATACCGCTGTTTTCTTAGCTGCAGCTTGCTTGTATTTTTTTAACCTTTTCTCTCCCCACTGCATAACATTGTTTTCACGAAATAATCAGACAGACATGTGGGATCTTCGAAGTTGCGTACTTGAGAAATGAAACATCTGCAAGAAAACCACCAAGCTGAGGGAACACCGAAGTCCCCAGTTTAATCTCGAGTTGAATATTTTCTTCTATAGATATGTGTCTTGTAGAGACCAGTATTAGCATCAGGCAGTTCATTTGGCTTTGGGTTACAAAGCATGAGTCCTAACAACTGTAGATTTACTTCAGAGTGGAATTTTGCAAGCTTAAACCCCTCAGTCTGTGCTCCATCTCTTCCCAAACACCGTCACCATCTTTCTCGCTGGGAAGATAAACATGAAGCTCCAGCTTTGGCCTTCTCATCTGGGGTAGCAAGGGCAGGTCTCTCTGCCAAGGTAGTCTGCAGTTCAACCCACTGACAATGAAATCGTGTGCGGTGTGGTGAGCCAATTGTCTACGGTCACGCTGTAGGACATCACGGCTGGCTTTGCAAGGAGGAACTGGCTTTGGAGTAAGGCGGATGGGTTTAGAAAAATGAAAGTAGGTACGCTTTTTCTTCAAGCTGTTGTCCAAGTTCACATTGGAAGAAGGGCAATTCCAGCAACCATCTCTTATTTGAAATCCTGCCTCAGGAAGCTTGAGAGAAGGTAGCTTATTCTTATCCTGGTCTTTGGAATTCGGGTACCTGATCTATTTTGAAAATGTATTAAAAATAAAACTTATGAGGACCCTTAGGCCTGCTAATATCTGGTGTAATAATTCAGTGCATAGGATAATACTCAAAAGTATGGGAGAAATTTAAAAAAAAAGGCTAAGCCTAAGTTTGTCTCCCTCCAATATTTTCCTGAAGAGAATCCATATATTTTCCTTATGCTTTCCTTACTTGGGATCTTCTCTTTTCTGAAAGCTCCCACCCCAAGTTCGCTCAGTTCCCAAAATCATGTTTCCCATTATAATTGCAATATGAAATAATGGGAATTTCCATGGAAGACAAAGTCAAATTTTTGAGGTGTGTTGATTGCCAAAATAAAACTTTTAAAGCAATGGGAATGCTAGCAATCAGGTGAGTCGTTTAGAATCAGGCGGTAGTCACAAAGCTCAAACTCTGGAAAGTGATTCATCATAAGATGAAAAACACTGCAAATACTTTTTGCCCTTGGCTGATTTTCTGCCAAACATCAGCATTATATACCTAATATATAGAGTTGTTTTTGACAACTGCTAGGATGCACCACACCTCTATTGGGTATCAAAATTCAGTGATCTGGATCATTTTCCTATATTGAATTTACAAGAGTTAAGTTTGAAGGATTTTAAGAAGGGGGGTGGGAAATGTTCTAGAACAGTATTTGAACAGGTTAAAGTATTAAAAATAAAAGGAACATAAAGTTGCTAAAAGTTAAATAGATGTCTCAATAAACCTGATTTTTGCAAACCAAGACCAAATGAGGCTTTAAAGATCATTTTGTGACTAAAAACATTTGGTGTTAAGAGATGACAAAATTACTGAAATTGTTTGTACTTGCAATAGTTGTTTCTTTGTATCATTTTTTTGCTTTACTATTTTTTCTTTTGCTCTCTTTTTCTGCATTTTTAGTTTGCATTGGTTATCTTGTAATGTTTACTAAACTAGAGAGATTTTGCAAGCCAGGGTGCAATTTATCCAGTGCCTGTCACTTGTACAGCTTATTCACCTATTGTAAACTACCAAGGATACCAACGAAAAGCAAACTTACCTGAGGAAATCTACTGTGCCTTTCCAATGGATCTGAAAAGCACGGCTGGTAATAATGCAAGAAGCATGAAGGTAGACATGGATTAATGGAGGTTCTCCTAGGGGCGCCCAAAGCTAGATGAGTACCATGCTCTGTCTTCATTGCAATTGGATAGAGTAATACTGTTTGTCCTCTTATGAATTCCTCCAGCTGCCTCCTCTTAGCTTTCAATGTCTAAGCCTACACATAAAAAATTCAAGCCCGACCTGCATGCGTTATTTATCAGTAACTGAATAGGGGTTAACCTTCTTGTCTGGCTTTCTGAACAAGTGTACTTTTACTTAATTTCATCATATCCCATCTTTGTTTTTGTAACCCTAAACATAACTCAATACCCTTCATATTTTCCCCAACAGATGGGTTAAACCAGGGGTGTCAAACTCAAGGCCCAGGGGACCTGATCCAGCCTGCAGGGTGCTTAGATCTGGCGTGCGAGGCCACCCTGGAAACAGAAAAGAACCGGTCCACGATGCCTCTGCCAGCAAAAACAGAGTTCAGGAGGGCTGTATGCGGCCCTCCCGAGCTCCATTTCGCTGGCAGAGGGTTGCAGTCCATCACAACCGGGTTGTAGGCCATCTGAAAATGGAGCTTGCATGGGCCAGGGGCGGCACCCAGGAGCCTTTTTGCTGGCAGAGCACTGCAGGCAGCCACAGGTGCCCCCAACCCGAGTGACGTTGAGCTGGCCACGCCCACTAGCTACACCCACCCCAGCCCCCTGAGGTCAACACCTTAACGCAGCTCTCAATTGAGTTTTGACACCCCTGAGTTCTGGCTTGCCTGAAGTCACCCATCTTTCTTATCTAAGATAGCACTAGGACTCCTAGTCATGGTTTCTAGCCTTCTGCCATAACCACTAGACCAAATTACAAAGAAATATGTGACGTTTGGAAGATACTGGCGACAGGAAGATTTTAAGGTAAGGAATCAAATTTTAAATAATTCATCAGGACAAGAATGAGCCAGTTGGTCTATCCCTGACCCAAGTAAAAAAAAATTCATGGTGCTTTTTTAAAGGGAAGCCCTGTGAAATTGAATCCTGATTATTTGGCAAAGAAACTGAGCTTTCTTTTCCAAATTAATCAAGCCATATATTTCTGATTTCATCAAGCACGTATCTAGCAGTTTTCAAACAAACCTGTATGAATGTAAACTAATAACTGAATTCTGGATGTTTTGAAGCCTTCCAGCAAATTTGGATCCAATCTGGTTCACTCCCAAATCAGCGTGGCTCAAATGCTCTATTTCTATATTGCTGTTCTACCACCAAGGAAGCTATTTGAAATTGGTTCCAGTCCACAAATGAGATAATGAATTACAGAATATTGAGAAAGGGCACAGCTGAATGCTAGAAATATGAGATTTCAAAAATGGAGGGTTACAAAATACTGCAAAAATAACAAAAGCCACTAGGGATTAAATGTTCAAAAAATCAATGCAGCTTTTCAGCATGATTCCAGAACAACTTACTAAAGAGTAACTTATAAAGGAGCCATTTTTAGGACATGAAGTTGGGATATATTGAGCACATCAGGCTGCTCCCACCTTCCTTTCGATATCTCAAATGAGCACCAATTGTAAATTGAGCTCTTTTTCAAGAACTGACACGAATTATTTTGTTTCTGAATAGTTTATTGAAGATTTCAAGAAAGTGCTACTGCATTCCGGACTCCTCTTTTCAAATACACCATTCTCCTGTAGAGAGATAAAAAGTGCATTATTACAACTGACCAGTAAGAAATCAAGATTTTTATGGCTGATTATACTGTTGCTATATCCTGCATGTTTATTTTTAATTCCATTTTTGGCCAACCCAAGAATACATGCATATATAATATTCTTATTTTCCACACACAATCAGGTGTAGTGGCTTGAATGTGATTGACCTGAAGTCACCCAGTCAGCTTTCATGCAAAAAAATAATAATGAATGGAACTCATCTCCAATTTGTACATCAAATTGGCTCTCCGGGATATCTATGTATCATTTAAATTGGGTTTAGCATATTAAATGCAAATCAAGACTTGACATCAATTACATTCAACTTCAAGACTCTTAACCATTGGAAAACCTACTAGTGTTCACCAAAAAATAACTTGGATGAAAGCCAAGATCAGACAAAACCTGGATTTGCTTGGTCAGACTCTGATTTTGTTAAAACATGAACCAAGCAAAAACAAGAAAGGCTGACCACCTATCACAATTTTATATGAATAACCTTATCCATAATTTCTTCTTCCAGAATTTAACAGTTGCTCCTTAGTACATCTACAGCAAACTGCTCTGACATATGACAGTAAGATGTTTTTTAACTGTTATTTGGGGAAAAAAATAACCCAGTGCAACAAGTGATTCATTTCATGGGTAGCTCAGCTAGGGAGAATTGGAGAACTGAAAGAAACACTGTGATGCCAGAACCTATCCCCTGCACCAATGCTTAACAGATAGCAATTCAGCTTCTGCTTCACCCTATTTCATCGCATCCATAAAAAAGGATCCCCATCACCTCTAGTTCTACCAGCAGTCTGCCTTCTACTCTTGAACTGCTGCCCAGAGCCATTTAGTGAGATGGGTGGCCATACAAATTGAATAAAATGAATGAACCCTTCCAATGTTCTATAAGATGCTGGCACCCTATCTCCTTACCTGCATATTGCAGATGACTTCTCTCTACAACATTCAGTTGTGTAGGCATATACTGGTTATTGGTCAACTGCAAAATAAAATTGTTTTAATTGTAACATGGAGTATGCTAACAAGTTGTTTTGAATTTAATGTAATCCAAGGTTAATAAATTTCATTATAATTGGTTTTATTTATAATGCCTCTTTAGGCAGCAGACTCCCAGTTTTATTCACTTCTGTAGGGATCTAGTGATTCTGCACAATTTTGCAATTACATGAGAGTCTGAACTTGGATAGGAAAAAAGATTATCATGAACCTCTAACTGAAATTTAAAGATTTTCATTCAATAATTAATATAGACAATGAAGTATTTTAAGGCTTAAAACTAATTTATCAATAAATAGCACAAAGAAGAAAATAAAAAATAATATAGCATAGCATAAGCCAGTTACAATAATTTTTACACTTAAAATGGAAAACTAAAAATGACTGGGAAAAGAGGAAAAGTAAAGGATATAAGCCTCAAGCATGCTTTCCTGATCATTTTTCTCTGTAGCAGCTTCTGATCTTATGTATTAAAATATTCCCCATGATCTTATTTGCATGTAGCAAATAAGTCACTAGCCTTACTTTAAAAAAAAAAAAAAAATCTCGGAGGACTTAGAGCCCTTAGTTCCGTGAAGTGAAGTCTTACCTTATATGGGAGTGTTCTAGTTTCATCCAGCTGATATTATCTTCACCTAAAGGATAAGAATTGAAGTTAGTAAGGGAAAATAAGACTGAAATATTTCTGAAAACAAAATTTAAGTTTAAACATTAAGTGCAACTTATGAACTTGTAAAATTGAGGGGAGTTTTACAAAAGCTACTAATAGTCATTGGGAGGTAGCAAGGGGCATAAGGAGAAGATGAGTATTTTATTTGAAAGACTGAAACACAGGATAGTGAACAATTGCAACTACTCTTAAGACTTAACCCTGAACTGCCCCTTGGAACAGATGCTGCCTAATCAGAAGGACAGTTGCAGCCAGAGGTACACTGCCCCTTAGGTGCAAGTGCAAAGCCATTGCATTCAGCTATTTAACTGCCTCTCTGAATTGATGCCATGCACCCAACACCATTACCCCATAAAGCAAATAATCTTTTCAGGTAATTGAAGGACAAGCCAAAGCTTTCTGAATCTTTACAAGACAGAGAAGAATTTGCTTGCTAGACTATTACAAATTTCCCCCCCACCTTGTGGTTATCCCTAGCAGTTTTCCAATGTTCTTAAGGGCATGAAATGAAAGGTCAACCTTTCCACCTGCAGCTAATTCTTAATGGCCCTTGTAATGTCAGAAACACTGCCAAGCTAGCCAAATGTGCCAGTTTCAAGACCACAATCTTGATTTATTACTTTTGCAAAACAAAAGGTTATATAGGAATACAAATTATGTTCTTCTCCCTAGCTATTTGTCTGCAGCCATCCCTTCCCACATTTCATTGTGCCAATATTCAGTATCGGTTTTCTGAGGGGGGAATTGGTAATACACCACCATTGGGCTTCCACAAAGTTGCTAATGGAACAAACAAAATGGGAGAAGCCTCCCTCTTCTCCCCCTCCCTCAGCCTCCCCTCTCTTGCAGCATTTGCTTAAGCCCAGCAAGTAGCATAAAGACAGATCTGCAACTGACCTGTTGATTCCAACCTTGCTAGCTGTGATGGTGGAAAACAACCAATGGTCCAAACAAACCTAAAAAAGCACAATCTCTTCATGTTGGGCTCCAATTTTAGAAGTTACCATAGGCCTTCCTGATCAGCCGCTTGAAGTTACTTGCAGAGTTTCAGCCCCCTGGTTGCTTAGGTGTTTCCTAGTCTTGGGAGGGGGGAAGCTTCAGCCAATAGAAGCCATACTGTAACAAAGCCTCCCCCCAATAATGTTAGGAAAGTGTTTCTGTCCTCACACAGCACTAGTAACCGGAACTGAGAACCTAGCAGAGTACGCATAATGTATTCTGGCATCACACTTCTGAGCTCTGAAGTCAGTTTTTGCAAGGGAGAAATCAAAGACCAGAATAAAAGCTTAACATGGAATACAATGCAAGCACTTTTTGTTATTTCTTATGCCACTCACACACGTAAGAGATGTTTTGATCAGTTATTGCCCTTAAATAATACTTAATGTATTTCTCTTTACAACTGCAGTTAAACATGTACATAAGAAACTGGAGTCCAATTCACCTGTTTACTAAAAATCCACTTATGTCAAGATATAACTTCAATTAAGCCACTGGCATATTGGTTCAAACTGAGTAGTTACTGTAGTTGAATATTTCTGCAGTCCAGTTATATAGCAAACATACTTATTTACTGAGTTCATTATACTAGTACTTGGAATATCCAGCTTGGAATGTAACTAGTCCCACACTGAACATGTTCATAGGATTTAAAGTATACCTTCTCTCAGTACATCTACTGTTCATAGTGACAAGGGTTCTTCTCTTGCAAACCACCCACGTACAAAAGACTAGGAATTCCATTTCATTATTTTGTTGTTAAGATTCACTGTTGAATCCTATTCACAAAGCAGTTTTTTTTTCAAGCACACTGAAACATGAAATTTGATAGAACTGCGCTTCGGTTTAAAGTTGAGTACTGCTGTAACTTATGAATTGATCAAGAGTCAAATATTATGAAACGCTTTCAAGACACATCAGATAGACCTAGCTAGCACAACAAAGCCAATAATTCTGGAGGGCAACTTACATTAGATATATAAAACCCTATATTTTTGTTCATCAACTACATTAGATATAAAACCCTATTTTTTTTTTTTCATCAAGTAGTAAGTAAAATAACCTATACTTTTTGGTAAGATGCATGGATTAGAGTAAGGGGAGCTCTCAATTATTTTTTACGTTATCACAGCCATCATCCCACAGCCGACCACCCATATATTAACTTGACACTATAGTTACAAAATACTACTTCAATACTACCTCAAACTTAACAGAGCAACCATTAAAAAGAGAAAAATACCATTTATCTGTCTGACCATGAAGTGTTTTCATACAACTTTTAGTATGTAGCTAGTATGAACTAAAAGCAACCATTCCTACACACAATGAGCAGTAAAATTATGCATAGATTGAACTCACTTTCCCCTCCCATTGAACACTCTATAAAGATGTCTTTGTCACACAGTGAAGAAAGAAACAAGTCATATGCACGAAGAAATCACGGGTCTGAGGCACAAGCGTCAGCATCATAGTCAGCTTGCCTAAGGCTGATTGCAGGTTAGGCCTCAAAATTAACCACCGTACAGGATGAGAAGTGCTGCACTGAAATCCCACTGTCAGTAGTGTGATGCCAGAATACCCCCATAGCAAGATTACACAGAAAGTCACCAAGTTAGATTATAGTTCTTTTTACCTACCTGTATGCAGGCGACAATGAGAATCTTGGAGCAAGCAGGAATACTACATCCAGGTGCTAATGTCCATTGCCACTTGTGGTACTACGTTCCTCACAGTTATGCACTGCGGAAATGCTGTCTAAGTGCTGTTACATAGCAGGCCACTACTTTTAAACAGTGTCATATTGCAGTCTCAAACTCCAGAGAAAAGCATGCTGCCACAAGTGGTTGCCAAGGAGATGCCAAGAACTTTTTAAAAACAAATATACCACAAAATACGCACAGAAACAGAAATTCATTTATTACAACTAACAAGGATGTGGTTATAGCATGCTATGATTGTTAAACATGGGTAGACTCTGGAATTGGGGTAACTTATGCATGACCTAAAGGCTTAATGGCATGCAGAAGTAGAATAGAGTTATGCTTCTGCTCAAAAGGCATCATCTGTTAAGTCTAAATATTTAAATCCATTTAGAAAAAGCTAAAAAGGTGGAACATTCAATTCAATGAAAACTCCCCAACAATTGGTTTGCTACTGAGGGATCAGCCTGTCTGTTATCCTTTGAAGTCAGACTACTGGGCTTTATATAAGGACATTTGGCAACAGTAGTCAAGTAGTGTTAAAAACCTAGATTAGCCCAACATTTCCTTCCCGTTTGAATATCAGCCTAGTTTAGACAAAATGAAAACAAGAGATGAACCTTAGGAAGGAAATGGGACCATCAGCTTCCTTCACTCTTCCAAGATTACAGTACTACAAAAGAACATGGTTTAGGATATGTGCCAGCATCCTAAGGAAAAATGGCATGTAATCTGAAAAATAAACTGAAAATTAGTTTCCATTTCCATTTTCCCATCACTGTCAGTCTTGGTGTTTTCTACAGTGGGTGTCCATGAACACCTCCTTGAGAAAAGCAGAACTGAGCTGTACGCAGCCCAGAATACAGTTAACATCCACATTTGTTTCACAAGGGTTTCTCTACATCAGAAGTCAATGCAAGAACTGTGGGTGTTCTTCCCCCTTTGATGGTAACTTCTTGAAGCTTCTGGGAATATAGCTCAATTCAACCACAAAACTAAATGAGGCAGTCCAGCAACCTTGAATATCGGATGTTTATCATTTCTTGGGTTTTCAAAAGGCTTGCTCAGCACAAGCCTTTGAGTCAATCCATTTTGCAGAATGAAAATACGTAATAACTGATGGCAGTGAAGTTTCATATGCTGCAGTTTTAAGCGGCTTACAGGTAACTGATTCTTCCTCATCTTTAGCACATTTAAAGTAGGGATGGGGGACCACATATGGCATTCTGGTTATCCCAAGCTACTGGAGGGAGTAGCACAGAGAAAGTGTCAACAGTTGAAAGGAAAAAAACCAGCCAAAACAGGATGCCTGCAAGTAATCAGTACTGACTTGCCAAAGGTTTTATGCCCCTCTCACAACAACCTTCTGGGAAAAAAGGTAGAGTAAATGCAACATTACCCAGAATAACTGTTTTAAACAGATATAAAATGGCTCCCCGTGGGGGGGGGAGGGAGTTCCCCACCCTTATTTAAAAGATTTAAAGCACCCCAAGTTGAATAAAAAACCAACAGGATTAATCACAGAATGTTCTCTGATCTGGTTCATCTTCATTTTACCAAGCCATTGTACCCTTTCTGTACCAGGAAACTCTGCACCCAGTATTTTAGGTACAAGGGGTATAGAGTCCAAGACAGCTTAACTTCTTACAGCATTTTAATAAATATAAAATGATTCAACTCTACCAAGTCAACAGCACAAGTTGATACTATGTAGCCCAAGGGGGGAAAAACTTTCAAATTTAATGGTATTTAGATTTCTGTATGTCAGGCTTTAATCTAATAAATTACTACTTTAATCCTGAAACGTCAAAGGATATTTCATTTCTGCATTTAAGTGGAGTATTGAAATTAAAATAATACACCAATGCCCACCAATGCTCAAAACTTTTGGATCAAGATTATGCTTGTTAAATCAAGAAAAAAAAGATTCCTTCCAATATTTAAATTGCAACTTCAATAGATATATTCACTCATCAAGGATTCTGTTAAGATAAAATGTCCAGTGGGCACTAAAAAGCTCAATTAAGAAAAGTATTAGAAGTGAAATAGATCAACCAGATCTCATATTTGGATGAATGAGATGCTGAGTAACACAGAAAGTCAGGCTATGACTTATAACAGCTGGCTTGGAAATGCCCTTTGGAGACAATAGCCAATACTATTAGATTACATGCCCTTACCCCATTTCCTTCCCACCTCGTTCAAAACTGAACTACATCATTTATTAAGTTAAAGATCTATTTCACCAAAACCCAGATTGTTTCCTCCGTGTAAGTTAAAAGTTCAAATTATGTATACCTGAATAATTATAGTCAAAGTTCTTCAGAATTCTCAAAGCTTTTTCTAAGGGTAAGACTTCATTGTAATATTAAATATCAAAGTTCAAGTAGATTTTAAAATTGCACTGGTATTTTAAGACTTGATAGTTTAAGACCAGCCATATGTATTGTGCAACACTCCAGATTTCATTTCAAGAAATGCATTGCCTTTTGTACGTGTTAATTGCCTTCTATGCTTAGACGTTTATGATAAAAGAATCTTGCTACGTTTAGACTATTTATTTTAAGCACAGTAAAAAAAGTTTACACTTGGGATTTCATATGGCACACAGTACATTGCCATCAAGGTAGGGATGTTATACATCAAAAAAGCTAAGTTTAGAACACTGCGTTACATAATTAGACTTGTTTCTGCCCAGACCACTTACAAATTCTAAGTCATTTTAAGTTTCTAACATCCATAAAAACGTAGCTTTCTTACTAAAATGCAAGAATAAAAAAAAAAAGTAGTGTCTAAACAAGACAAGTAAAACAAACTGGAATGAAAAATCTACAAGTCACATCTAAAATCTGGGCTTTTTGTTTGGGCCTTCATATTCTTCTCTCCCTCTCCCATAAGCTGCAGGAGTTCCAGGCCCCATTCCTCTAGGGCCCTGGCCACCTACAGGCCCCGCACCTCCCTGTCCAAATCGCTCAGGGCGCTATTAGAACAATTAAGAGTTCATTATGTGTAGTTGATGTCCATGTGTGTTTAGAATTTATATTAGAAGGTTCCGCAGTCAACGTTCGTCGATACAATCACCATTGAGTCGATCCACAGGTACCGGGAACATAGAAAGGAAAAAAGGGTAATTTAATAATTAGTTTAACTTAATACATGTCTTGTGGTATGTTCCCAACTTGATCCATTCTGAAATGTCTGTTTCAGCAAACAGATATTCCCTGAAGTGCTAAAAATTCAAGCATTAGTATGGGTTTGAACCAAGAATCCTCTTTGAAGAAATTCTGGTTATTTGCTACAATTGTTAATCTACAGTCAGTGAACAAGGTACAAAGAAGCCCAACAGGAGCTTCCTAAAGCATCTCACATAAAAAGCAGATGCCCAGTTAAAAGATATAAGACCATGTTCTTGAAGTTACCTGGACCATGTCTATTTACTTAAATGGTTTTCAAAAGCCACTGACCCTATGAAAGTACAAGAAATAGTAGCATCTGGTTAAATTGCCAAGACAAGACCACCACTAAATGTTTGCACAATGTTAAGCTTCTTTAAATAGCTCCACTGCGGTAGAGGTCCTATGGCTTTAGAGTAAGGATTAGCAAAGAGTCCATTATTATTTTGCAGTATCTGAATATATTCAAGCTGGTCTCGGAATCCACTAAAGCTCAACTAAGCTGAAATAAAGCAGACCAGTTCACTTTTCAATTTACCTGATCTTCATTTCTTGATTTACCAAGGCACAAGGGAGGATGTAATGAATCAAAGATGTTGATGTTGGTATTATTGGTGCTTTTAGGGTAGCATAGGAACTATTTTACCAAAAAAAGCTTTCCAATGCACTCAAACTTAACAGAGCCAATTCACTCAGTATAATTCCTCAGACTAGCTGTATGAATCCTTTAACTAGATACGCATGCAGATGTTATTTGTGAAAGGCTCACACTCAATTTGCTCCCCAATAACCCCACAAACAAAAGCCTAGATTCCAGAATGCTACTGCCACAATTATCACAGATGAGAAAACATATGCATGAGCCCTTCACTGATTTGCATAAGTATCCAATCATGGAGTCACTGAGAGTCTGGATTTCTAGCATGTAAGTAAATCTCCATCAGATCTCCTCTAACAACTGGCTTACAGTTATTAGACTGCCAAAGGCCGTGTTATGAACAAATTCCATAAAGGAGACAATTTCTACTAAATTTCTAAAGTTACATACTTTAGAAAGACAGCACAGTGCTTCACTGAAATTTCAGACTTTTTTTCTAGTGCCACCAATTACAAGTGAATGAGATATTTAAACATTTGATACACTGCATTGTTGATTTTTAAAACACACATCCTGGTTTTACCAGACAACCTATTTCAACAGAAGTCTATAACTAATTGCAGACTCCTTTGAGCAACACGGTCAAAACAGCAACAGGGCATCTTAAGAAATTGGGGTTAAATAAATGGTAATGGTTTCTATGTTAAATGACACATGAGCTACAAGTAGCCCATTTCATGTAGCAAAACTTTCAGTAGAATAGCCTCCACCCCTTCCCCAACACTATTTTATGTGTTAGATTAAACTCTTATGGGTGAATGTGTACCACACAAGAAGGATTAGACTTAGATCTTTCAGTAATTCTATTTACCAGTTGTACTACTCCAAGGCTTCACGTATAATGTGAAATCAAGAATTTCTGCAAAGCCTACAAGTACAGGAACAGGAAGTAAAGTTCAAAGTGCTTGGGGAACAAGTGTACTGTCTGCAGCTACTGTAAGGCAAGATATGCCCCTGAATATTGGTGACAACAGGGAAGCTACTGCTTTCATAGACATCCCCCGAAGCATCCAGTTAACCACTTTGGGAATAGGATGGATCTCTAATTTGATCCAGCAGCTCAGTCTATATAGCAGGGGTCTTCAAATGTGACAGCTTTAAGAATTGTGGACTTCTACTCCCATAATTCCTCCTCCAGTTATGTTAGCTCAGGAATTCTGGGAGTTGAAGTCCACAAGTCTTAAACTTGCCAAGTTTGAAGAGCCTTGGTCTATAGCCAGGAAGCTTAAAACAGCATAACCAAATCATGTATTATTTAAGCGCCATTAAGCAACTTGCTCAAGAAATAGATTGCTAATGAGTGGCCTACTTCAAGAATTGCTTCTTTCCCTCATCATCACATATTGTGTGTCAAAAGCCAATGTGTACAATGATAGGTAGTTTACATCTAAATATTCTCTACCTGTGATGAACCCATTACATTAACAAGTAGTAATAGCGTAATTATATTTTAGGCTTATTTCCATCTCCCTTTATTTTATACACATTTCTATGCACCACAGTTAACTCAAGTTCAGAAAGTGACACAAGACCACTTCTGCTAGTTAAGCTAACTCAACAAGCATGTGTGCTTCCCCGCCCCTCCCAGGCAGGTTAAGATTACAGAACTGAAGACTCCTTCACGTTTAGCGAGACAACTCCCAACCCAACTGATCACAGGAAAGTCTGCTAATATCCATTGCAAAAATATCTGAGCAGACCTGTAACCATACTGGCAAAAGACTAGACTTAGTTTTACATTGCTCAACAAGCTTCTTGCTATTAACCAACTGCTGGAAAAGGGAAGCCTATCTAAAAGTGTAGGTTATAGAATGAATGCAAAAAAAATCTCTAGAACTAAGGTCAAGCTGCCACAGGATACGTTACCATATCGCTTCCCATCATAGTGCCACTCATAGATGTTTGTCCAACTCCGGGATTGGTCTCATAGCCAAGGCCAGTGCCACCTGCTAATGGTGGGAATTTCTGAGCAGTTGTACCATAGGGATCTATTTTAAAAAAATAATCAAATGATTATGCATGGATAGATCACAATAATTTAAACAGGTGAGTTTAGTTGGAAAGCTTTTTTTTACCTCCCATGTTCATTGCACTGGTACCGCCCATTCTCATGTCTCTTTCTCTCTGCAAAGACAAACAGACATTTTTAAGAACAAGTAAATCCCTTAAAAGCTCTGTAATGCAAACCTGGATTAGAAGCTGGAAGACAATGACTTCTAATCCTGTAACAATAGACAGTAGAATGACAAGCTCTAAGACAGCAGGTACCAATCCTCCAAGATCCAGATTTATATCATCAAAACTGGGAAGTCTTTTAAATAAGTATGAAAGCTTACTCCTAGGGATCATTATGAGATTCAAGCATCGGGGCAACTAGATTACTGGGATTCTTCCAGCCCTGACTTACAGGATCCATGTAACCCATTCGAGTGTAGCTTTCTTCTCTCTGTCTTCTCATTTGTTCTTCCATCTCACGCTGACGGATCATCATCTCTTCTTCCCGCCTACGTCGCTCTTCTTCTTGCCTGAAAATACAATTGCTCTATAATTTGTACTTTTAAAAAACTTGAATAGTATACCAATTCATTAAACCATAAAATTATCATACTTTATTCAAGCTAAGAAGCCTTCAAAATAGTTACTGTAAACAAGCCTTTATGAATTATAATAAAAAAGATCAATTGGGAGGGGACAAGGCTGAACAAAACACTGAAGTAATACTCCACTAGTTCCTTCACTTGGTTCTAAGCAATTTATGGTTATTCACAGCTAACATACAAAACCGTTAAATACTTGTTAAATTCAGGATTAATAACAGGTTCAAATTACCTCAATTGTATTTCTTTTCGTTTCTGCATCTCTTGATTGTGAAGTTCCTCCATGCGTCTCAATTCCTCTTGTCGCCGCATGAGATCTGCAAGTTTGACCATTTAAGCAACCATTGTTTAATAGATTATAAGTTTCTATCAATTCAGGAAAAACTGAATTTGATGGGCATTCCTGAAATTAAATGTAAAAAGCCTAACAAGCAAATGTGTACATAAACAAGTTTGTCTCAATTTTTTAATGAATGATTTGTACATACAATACTTTGCAGTCACACTGCTACTTAGGCAATTGATGGAAGACAAATATTTTCAGCTCAACTTTTTTTCTGAAACAGCAGTGTAAGATTACAAGAGAAAGACATAATAAAATATAGCCCTCACTTTATGGTACACCTTCCCGGTGAAACGATGGTGGCACCATCACTTTTGATATTGGATTAGTTATGCCCTCAGGCCTAGGATTCCCAATGAACTATTGATTTGTCTTGATGGCACCATTATTGAGTTGGTTGCCATCAAAACAAATGTCTGGTTCCCTGGAAATCCTAGGTTAAGAACATAACCAGAATTTCACCATGGTTAGTATTTTTATGCTATATGTTAGTATTTTATTCTGGTTGTTTAGATTTTTATGTTGGTTTTATTGGCAATATACTGTTGTGCACCACCCAGTCACCTTTAACAACAATATAAATCTGAATAATAAACCTTAAAAAACAGTAAATTTATATTGTAAGATGTATTGGAGTAAAAGCAAAACATTAGAATACCAAAAGTGAAAACTTGAAAAAAAAATGGGAGAAAGCAAGCAAAATCTCAGCCAGAGATCTGTGTCCTATACCTTGGCGTAAAAGGTTTGCCTGATGCTCATGGTAAGCATCCTCCATCTCGCTTTCCAGTTTGTCCTTGGCATCTTTCATATTTTTCTCTACTTGATCTCTCTGCTGTTTCTCCATTTCATCCAACGATTTCCACCGTTGAGAATATTCATATTCAAAACTCCCAGGTTGTGCAAATCGTGGTGGAGTTTCTCTTTCCCTAAAAATCCAATTGAAAATGAAATTCACATTTATAGTTTTCAAAATAGCTAGCAATGATGCTGATAAGCATTTTACTCAAGTACAGAATAAACTGGTCTTAAGTTACGAAGGAAGAAGCCTTTGACTTTTTCAATTTACTTTTGACAGGCACCATTCCATTAAAATAGCTAATAGAATGAACACAATATGAACCTGGCTGGAACTGACAAGTTTAAGTTCCAGCTAAAGGGGCCATATGTTCCATCTCCTGCTAGCAATGCACTACTATTCAGTTTTTCACTCCAAGTGGACCACCCCCAGGACTGAGAATTTTCAATTTCTCATTTTTTAAAAAGCCTGCAAAATATAAGATTTGGCACAAATTCTGATATTATCATCAGCCCAAATGTTTATTCCAGTCCAATTTACAAAGTGTGATATTATTCTAGATAAACTCAAAATCAAATTGTAATTATTTTAAGGAAAGATGCCTTAAGTAGTATGTTAATACATGACTCTTGGAGTTATGATTGCTTAAAAACCTAGAAGGCATAAGAACACTAAATTTAAATTGTTTCAAAATAAAACTCTGAATCTTTTACATACTTTTAAGCTACATAAATTCACCAAATGAAACAATTCCATTTTATTTAAGTATTTTAGGTTAACCACTTTGGCTGCAAGAAAAAACTGAATAAAATATTAAATAAAAAATAAATCTGAAAGTGAAAAATACATAATCTTAATTCAAAACAATATAAACTTTTCCATAAAATTTCTAATTTACAATATTGAAACAGAAATGAGTCAAATCATAATATGGAAGGACCTACTACCTTAAATATACTGTAAAATTAACAGGGAAGAACACATATTCCAAATTATCAAACACAGTTTAATTGTGGCAATTCTACATGGTTACATCTGCTTACTTTTGATACATTGGATTTTTCTGAGCCAGCTTTTCTGGAAGACCATCTTCGTCATCTAGCTGTTCAAGAGGCTCCACAATAACTGGCCTAGGAGTGCTGAAAATTAAGAGACAAAGTATTGAGTTTGTTTTAAAGACTGGGTTTTAAGCTTAAAAGGTTTTATTTAAATTCAGTCCACAGTCTTCAGTTACTAAACTACATAAAAATAAGAGATCTACTTACGTTGTCAGAAGAAAGACCCCTTCAGTACAACGTTCAAATGCTTTTCGTGCTGCAGGCTTAGATGCGAATTCCACAATGCCCTTTCCTGAGGATCTGCCACGATCATCTACTATCACAATAGCTCTTTCAATTGGACCAAACTGAGAAAAAGCTTCTTCCAGTAATTCATTTGATACGTATGGGGAGAGATTACGTATAGAAAGAGCAGCAGCATGGGTGGCAAAACGCACGCGAAGCTGCCTTCCTCTCATAGGAATATCATCAAGTTCTGCTTTTGCAATTTCAGCCAAAGCTCGAGATTCCTGTGGATATAGGTTAATACATTTTAATTTAAAAGAATGTTCAACAATGTAAGAGTAATCTTAGTATTTAAAGTCTAAAAAAAACCTGGAGTATCGATACTTACCAGTTTAATAAAGCCAAAACCTTTTCCCTTGTTAATAAAGACTTCCCCTGGTTCACCGTATTTGGAGAATAATCTCTTAAATTCATCTTCGGTGATATCAGCAGGCAAATTCCCAACAAACAGACGGCAGCGCTGAGTATATGTTTTTTCTCCAGGGCGTCTCAAAAGTGACAGATTTGCTTTAAAACCCTAAAAAATATTGAAGACGAAGTTAATGTTTGTATCTTAAAAGGCACTCATTTCCCTCTTACACACATAGATCATGCAGACTGACTGCACTCCATATCAAGCAGACACAGTAGATCAGCCTGGAAATACCCTCTTTAATATGCTATTATTCCTTTTTCATATTTACTTTCATATTTGAAGAGACCTTTTTATGAAAAGTGTACTGAACAACCTGACAATTTTCCATTTAGATGGACTTGATGGATCTGTCACATACCCAATCCACAACCATCACTGCCCTTGCAGTATTTTAAAGGGAGAATGTTCTTAAGCATTGGTTGCCCATGTACATGGTGCACCAGACAATCTTTACATGAAATAACTACTTTTTCTATTGCATTTAAATATAAGTTTCTCTTTCACAAAAAATGTAGAGAACACCAACATATCAAAATTGAATAGTTACCTTTACCCAGACATGAAATGTAAGGCTTGCACCCTTCACAATTATTCTAAAAGCTAAGGCACTATTACTTCATTTTATAAATAGTAGGCCTTCCTGGGTTCCCCATTAAATTTTGCCTAATAGTATGTACACTATCAAACATTCCCCATATTAAGGAAACTTTAAATCTGCACCTATTAAAACACTGATCAGAATTATAGCCCAGGACAGCTAATAATGTGGTCCCACAAGATAATCAAATGATTTATTTACATTAACTATGTTATACCAGTACATTTTATATATATAGTCCCAAAACAATTCCTCTTCATTCAAGGCAGCTCAGGCAAGCCACAAGATTGGATACCCATTATCTAAAACTGCCTTGTACAAGTGCAAGTATCACCATCACCTCATTTTCTCCCAAGCCAGCAATAAATATCATTAGGCCTTTACTTCAGTATTTCTATTAAAAGTATCACAGTTCTAACACATCACTATCAGATTCATCTATATAATGTAGCACACAACTTTTTCAGTATTCAAAAGTACGCAACTATGTATCTATGCTTTAAAATCATCATACAGAAAAACGCCACATATAACAGGCAACCTATGCCATGCACTTGTGTAGGAAACTGAACTCATACAAATACACAAGAAAACTAGTGTGCTGTAGAGGCTCAGGCAGGAGGCTAGAGACTTGTAAACCATAAATCCTAGCCCTGCCTTGGGCCAGGCACTCACTATCTGCCTTAGGAAGGAAGCAATTGACAAATCACTTCCACTGTCCTGCCCGCATATTCTTTCCGAAGTGGTTCGCCGGCCCCAAGGTCATCGAGAGAAGGACCAGTTCCTTCAGTGGAGCACCGACCCGAAGGCGGGCACTTAAGAACACAGGTCAGCTTACTAACAGCCTTTCTCTATATCTGTGCGATCAAGGATATCACCATTAATCCCTTCAAAGCAAAAAATAGGACTTGCACATAGCAGACAGACTTTCCCGGGAAGGCCGACGCGGCAGCTCTTGCTAAGGAAATCGCTTCCCTTTAAAACTCGAGAGCTCGTCGGCTGCCACGCCCACGGCAGGGAGCACCCGGAGGCTCCGGCCCTCGCGCACGCGCATTCCGGCGCCAAAGATGGCGGCCGAGGGCGCCGTCTGGCAAAGGCGCGCGGCAGATCAGAGACACCGGCGCCATCTTGTGTTATAAGGCAGAGCCGGGAGGGGCCGCCGCGGTTGTGCCTACCTCAGTGTCGGAGACCTTTTCATCCCCCGCGCCCTGCTGCTGCGACGAAGGGGGGTGCTGGTGCTGCTGAGACGAATGCTGGTGTTGGCTCTGCCCTCCGCGCCTTTCGCCGCCGCGGTGTTGTTGTCCAGGCCCACCGCCGCTCTTGGGGCCGCCTCCTGGCTGGGACCCTCCCGGGCCTCCTTTCATGCCACCTATGGGTCCTCCTCCACCTCCGGGAGATGGCCCGGATCCCTTTTTGGAACCGCCCTGCCCGGGGCTTTGGTTCGGCGGTGCGTTACTCTGCTGCGGCGGCTGCGTCTCCCCCCCTCGGCCGCCGCTCTGGAGCCCTGAGGGAGCGGCGGGTGTCGAGGCCGAACTTGGTGTGGCGATGGAAGAGGAGGAAGATGAGGTCGCAGGCGTGGCGCCGATCTGATTCTGGTTCGGCCCCAAAGAAGGCGACGAGCCTGCAGGGCTGGAGGAAACGGAGGCCGTGGTGGAAGGCGGAGTGGAGGTCGAGCTCGGCGGCTTAGCAGGCTCCGGCTTCGGGGGGCCGCCGGCGCCCATATGATGGTGAGCGCCGCGCGATTGCCCCATGCCTCCCCCCATGCCCGGCGGCGGCGAACGGAAGTCGTGGTTGCCGGGGAGCCCGCCGCGGCCTCCGCCACCGCCGCGCCGGTGGAAGCCGCCTCCACGGCTACGAAAACGGTCTCTCGACATGGCGAATATGGTGGCGGTTGAGATGGGGCCTGACGGCAACACGACACTGTTTCTCCTCAGAGTCCGACGAAAGACAAAATGGCGCCAGACGCAGAGATTAAAAAAAACAGCCTCGCGGCTGCCTTTGTCTCACCCTTTTATAGACTCGGCGAACAGGCGCAGTCCCCGCCTTTCCGGCTTGCTTTTTTTTTTTCTTGAGTGAGCCAATAGAAAACGTTCCCCACCAGATTGACAGCTTTCCGAACCGATCTCCAACAAAGCAGGATAGGAGGGGCGGGAGAAAGGCGGCCGCCTTCAACCCCGGGGCTCCGTCATTCGTCCATTCGCGAGCCGTAATACAGAAAAGAGCGAGTCGAAATCCTTTCACTTACGCTTCCACTGATTGGATCGTTTGGTTCCCAAAAGGCGGGGCTGGGTGGTGAAAGGGCGGGGCTCTAAACTGTGCGCATTGTCTTGCAGCCGACAGAGAGGCCACGTGGGCTGGTGTGGCTGAATGGCCGTTTTGCTTAGTTTGAGCATCTTTTTCTGTCGACACTCCACTATATTTTTTACTATAAAGATCCATTCCCTTACTATGAACTTCACTCATAAATTCGGATTTATTTCTTCAGTTCTCCTCCCCGTTCCTCCTCGACCATATTTAAACAACAGGGAAAGAATAAAATATGGAAAAGAAACTAAATGCAGGAATGAGGAAATAGAGGTCACTCGAAAGCTCACCAGTGCTGCCACCCCCTCGCCTTCTATATATACTTGTGTGCAGTGCTGTGACGACGTGACACACGTAGAAAAAGGGTGGAGCTTGCATTGTGGCGTCGCAATGCAATATTTTACCTTTTTGATGTCGGGGTTGAGATTGGATGTTTAGGGCAATAAACTTCATGATGGGTGAACCTTGGGATCCTGACATAAACCCGATTCAAACTTCCTTATGTCCGTATCTGGAGATACCAAATTGCTGAGTTCTGTGTGAAAAAACTATTCCCTCAATTTTAACTGCTTCTCTCTTAAACTATAATTTGAAATTGACCCAGATCTGCAGTAAACACAGCCTTTCTTGAGAAGTTATCTCATGCCAAATTGAACACAAAACGATTTTTTTTCTTTTAAGGAGAACTGCCAATTTTATGTTTATTTCTGGGCAGAATTAGAAATATGCTTAGCCACTCTTGTCTCCTCCGAAAGGATGAATCTTGCCAAGTTTCAAATGATGAATTTGAGGTTATGCTTATTGAGGTTATTACTGTATTCAACAGCAACCAAGTAAATATTGATGTTCTTACAATGAAAAAAGCCAAATATAAAATGCTGAAAATAGATCTGTTTATTTAATGTATTTCTGTTTAATAGCGTTCTGTAATGCTCTTTATTTTTCACCCCGTAGAGACGTTAATATACAATAGTTTACAAAAATGCTTCTCTGTTGTTTCTGTCCCTTGGTCTATGGCAGTATTTCTCATGTAAACTCCAAATCCCAGAATTCCCCAGATGGATATGGTAAAAAAATCAAGATGACAGTCATAGTGAGGCAACTAAAGCTTTTCCTGTTTTATGTGTATCTTAAAACACTTGGACCTCCTGCAAGAAACATTGGAGTATGAGATTCCTTTTTTACGAAGTGGAACAGCAGTGTTCTCCAAATACACTAAAACAAGAAAAAAAGTGAGGCCATCTCATGTTTTACACAATGTGTGCCTTTAGTTTTAGCAAATACCATTTTCTTCTTGTGTTCTGAATCAGGACATAATTTGATTTGAAGGTAATATCTGCACCTTAAGAATCCTAAGTACATCCATATTATTCCATTCAAATCCCTCAGGAGGGATTTGAAAATGAATATTCATGTTTGTATTTTTAGGATTGTGCATAATTTTCCCTTCACTTTTTCTTTTCTTTATATTCTGCCTTTTTATACCATCAGTTTTCTGTTTGTTTCAATTTAAATGCATGTTTAAAATATTTCTTTCAAAGATCTGCACAAATTATACTTTTGGACACAAAGTGAAGCATACTGCAGCAATTCTCACCACCTATCTGGAATAGTCTTCAAACATAATTTCGTTAATTATATATAATCTTGCATTCCTAGTTTAAGTTGGCTGGATTTGTTATTTATTTTCATTTACAGCATTTAGACCACTGCCAACAGCCATTCCTTAAAATGGGACTGAGGGTATCTCCCCTAATATGGTCCCCACAGAAGCAGCCCTGTGAATCAGGTTGCTTTGAAAGCTGGTAACTGCTCCAACCATCCTGGTCAAGGGAAACTTGAACTTGTATTTCTAGTCTCAGTCATTAAAAAGAACTGGATTCTGCCAGCTATGTGTTGTGGGTTCTGGCTGGGATTCAGACAAATCAGTCATCAGCAGGCACATAGAGATAAATAACATCTATATATCATTCAAGAGATAATCCAAAAGCTAAAAAGGAAACAAAAAAGAAGAATCTACAAAACCCTGCCCTTAAATTGTCCTGCATTCAAACTGTACATCAGCACAAGCTTGTTCCTGAGACTGTGTGGTGTCTGCTGACCTACTTTTCTGGCATTTCAAGGTCAGGAGGAATGCACGCTGACACAGAGATGAGGAAAAATCGTATGATTCCGGAATGCACTTTTTAGCTTCACAGCAAATATTCCATCAAAATCTGGACTGCAGAACTGTGGTAGAATACAACTTTGTACACAAAAGACCTTAGATTGCTATCCCCTCATGAGAATGGTATAGATAGACTCTGGTCTGCAATGCAGTAAAACCATAGCCAGATTGCTGATAATGCAAGAATACACCATCAAAGATTCTCGCAGTACAACAGAAGATTCTTCTCTTCATCATTACAAAAATCAAAGCAATTAAGCACCCACAGAGGAAAACTAAGCAATAAAAAATAAACCCATGCAAAATAAGTCCAGCATTATGTATCCACAGAAGTCCAATCCAATCTTGTGAATTGGACAATATTTGCCATAACTCCCAGCTAATATGCAATGGTCCAGATCTACAGTGAGAAAGGAGGCATGGCTAGGTGACATTTTGAAGGCCATCTATTTCTTTAGGGTTTACTTTTTTTTAGCTTTTGTAGAATATTTGGTTGAAACAAATCTTAGCACAGAATGAACATGTGTTCTAAGTCCAATGGCCTCCATTCAATTACCTACATATGTGATACTCATGCTGCAAAACTCCACATTGCATTAGATGGAAGTAAAAAGTGTCTGATTCTTTGCTGCCTTCTAGAGTTTATCCAGGTTTTTGCATCACAGATCTGATATTTAAATTACTTGCAAATTTGCATTTGTGTTTATACTATAATTAGTGAATGTTGTTCACTACCACATTAGTGATCACTAGTTGTACTCCACAATTAATTTATTATGGGGATTTCCCATGATAAAGAAGGAACTTCTAAAAGCAGTTCTGTATTTATTTGTGTTTGCTTTTGTAAGAGACTGTACTTTCCAAGACCATCCAAAGTACACCGCTCAAAAAAATGAAGGGAACACAAAAATAAGACATCCTAGATCTGAATGAATGAAATATTCTCATTAAATACTTTGTTCATTACATAGTTGAATGTGCTGACAACAAAATCACACAAAAATTATCAATGGAAACCAAATTTAGCAACCCATGGAGGTCTGGATTTGGAGTTACACTCAAAATTAAAGTGGAAAAAAACACTACAGGCTGATCCAACTGTGATGTAATGTCCTTAAAACAAGTCAAAATGAGGCTGAGTAGTGTGTGTGGCCTCCACGTGCCTGTATGACCTCCCTACAACACCTGGGCATGCTCCTGATGAGGTGGTGGATGGTCTCCTGAGGGATCTCCTCCCACACCTGGACTAAAGCATCCCCCAACTCCTGGACAGTCTGTGGTGCAATGTGCCATTGGTGGATGGAGCGAGACATGTCCCAGATGTGCTCAATTGGATTCAGGTTTGGGGAATGGGCGGGCCAGTCCATAGCATCAATGCCTCCGTCTTGCAGGAACTACTGACACACTCCAGCCACGTGAGGTCTTGCATTGTCTTGCATTAGGAGGAACCCAGGGCCAACCGCACCAGCATATGGTCTCACACAGTGTCTGAGTATCTCATCTTGGTACCTAATGGCGGTCAGGCTACCTCTGGTGAGCACATGGAGGGCTGTGAGGCCCACTAAAGAAATGCCACCCCACACCATTACTGACCCACTGCCAAACTGGTCATGCTGGAGGATGTTGCAAGCAGCAGAATGTTCTCCACGGCATCTCCAGACCCTGTCACGTCTGTCACATGTGCTCAGTGTGAACCTGCTTTCATCTGTGAAGAGCTCAGGGCACCAGTGGCGAATTTGCCAATCTTGGTGTTCTCTGGCAAATGCCAAACGTCCTGCACGGTGTTTGGCTCTAAGCCCAACCCGCACCTGTGGATGTCAGGGCCTCATACCACCCTCATGGAGTCTGTTTCTGAGTGTTTGAGCAGCCACATGCACATTTGTGGCCCGCTGGAGGTCATTTTGCAGGGCTCTGGCAGTGCTCCTCCTGTCCCTCCTTGCACAAAGGTTAAGGTAGCGGTCCTGATGCTGGGTTGTTGCCCTCCTACGGCCTCCTCCACATCTCCTGATGTACTGGCCTGTCTCCTGGTAGTGCCTCCATGCTCTGGACACTACGCTGACAGACACAGCAAACCTTCTTGCCACAGCTTGCATTGATGTGCCATCCTGGATGAGCTGCACTACCTGAGCCACTTGTGTGGGTTGTATACTCCGTCTCATGCCACCACTAGAGTGAAAGCACCACCAGCATTCAAAAGTGACCAAACCATCAGCCAGAAAGCATAGGAACTGAGAAGTGGTCTGCAGAACCACTCCTTTATTGGGGATGTCTTGCTAACTGCCTATGCTTTCCACCTCTTGTCTATTCCCATTTGCACAACAACATGTGAAATTGATTGTCAATCAGTGTTGCTACCTAAGTGGACAGTTTGATTTCACAGAAGTGTGATTGACTTGGAGTTACATTGTGTTGTTTAAGTGTTCCCTTTATTTTTTATTTTTTAATTAAACCCAATGAACTTAAGAAGAAGGAAGAACTTGAACTAAATAAAAATAGATCATTTCTGAAGTTTCTTGGGAGAAGG